ATTTTTAGGCTGTGATGGATATGTGGAAGGAATAAAGCGGAGGAGGAGTTATACTTACACACTATCCAAATTAGATCGATGCTTCGGCTTATCTAGGCGGGCATATCGCCCCGCCGCAGTGTCATAAAGGGAAGGCTTAGAGTGAAGAATGTCGAGAAGATTGGTGGTCTGTGGGACATTGAGACCGCGAATGCTTCGCACGAAGTCCAAGGATCCATCACGATTCCTTTTCAGTCTAGATGGCCGCAGAAAGAGTTAGTGAAAAGGAAAGCGTGCGTTGGGATTGTCCTTATCAATGATGCCTACCCAGTCATTCCATAGCTGCTGGTGGAACACCGTCGCTGTATATCTGGTTTTTGATATTTGGCGCAAGATGTCTTGTTCTCCTCCTGGATTTCGCAGCTGCAACATTTCTGTCTACGACGCTGTGATGCAGTGTTTTCGGATTCAGGTAGCCAGATGGTATGGCCTTTGGTGCATGTTACTTTATGCTGTCCATCTCTGAACATGACCATTGGGGAGGTAGCTTGATGTTCCGCGACATCCTGATTACTGTAATCACAGTCTTTGGATCGGGGCCTAATAGTGACGTATATTGGAGAAGCGGGGGACGCGGGTGCAGGGGTGCTAGGCTCCTTCTCGCGAGGATACCCCGTCTCAAAAATGGGTGATTTAAGGACAAGACTGTGCCTCCTGGTATGACGAGGGTAAATTGTTTCATATATAGGTGATTGGGGGTTGCCGTCTTTGTCGTCGGTCCGCGGGTATATAACCTTATAGACTGGAGAGAGGCAGGTATTGACATCCTTGGCGCTAATAGGATATATGGTCTTGTAAATGGGTGATATTAGTCCTTTGGATAGACTGCTAGATGTTGCTTTATCTCTTTCGGCTAAATTTGAAGTATCTATGGATATCCTCGGGGCACGCTGCTTGGACCGGCTTGGGGACGGCTTCCTCAATAGGGGCATGGAGTCCTCGTATGACTCGGAATCCGTCTCACTATACCCTATAATCGATGTTCCACTGGAGGATGAAGGGCTGGAGCGTCTTGATCGTTTATCATGACCCCAAAGCCGGTCCTTCCTCGGGGTGGCAGTTGCGACAGGCATAGTGAATATGGTAAAAGGCTGATAGAAGCAAAAGTGGACAGAAATTATAACTATGAGAACCAACTCAAGATATGTATTGAGACGTGGGATGTAAGAGTATTAATCGATTGAATTGATGTCTAAAACAATGTCTTGATCGAGGGCATCCAACGCCAAGTTATCCTCCGCTTTCATCCCTAGCATAGCAAAATGAGATCGCTTCTTTCCAGAGTTCTCCGGATCAAAATTCGACATGGCGTCTAAATCAGATGTTTAAAATTGAAAAAGGAGCCATAATTAGCAAAATGGCTGACATTACTCCAAATCAGAATAGATTGTTTCATACCACTGCTTGATTGCACCGTTGGACAGGACATGAAGGAAAATTCCACAACTCCGGTAGCGGTTGATGAAACCGACGCTGTAGCTGTGTGATTTCATCCAAACTCCATTGAACCAGAGAGCAAAGATAGTCCAGGGGGTGTTTGATAAATTAGGTATATAGAGCAACAGAGCTGCTCAGGGGTTTTTGATAAAACACCCCTTGATGCTGCGGCTAGTTAATAGCCGCGCAGTTGGAAACACCTAAAGAGATAGTCCTTTTTCTAAAAAGATAAATTAAATGAGATAGCCCGGTTTCCAGCCAGCCAAACAACTGAAACGACTGCAGTTGAAACAGGAGCGTGGTGTGTATGGGTCTCATTTGGCGCTGGGCGCCAAAACACACCTGATCCATAAATAGAATCCAACGACTGGTCTGCAACCCTCCCCAAGATGGTTTGTGGGGTAGTGATTCAGATAAAATGTCTTTTGAGAGAATGGTTGGGCCTCTGCTCTCCCAAGCCAGCAGGAGGCAATAGTCAACATCAACATTCACCGAATGGACGTGAGAACGAGTGAGGTCTGGATGGAGAAGAATCGCTTTGTGGCAATAACCAAGCGGACTAATATTTATCCGGAGAATTTGTGTCTTTTAGCTGAGTAAGCGGCCATGATAGATGGCTTGGCGTTGGACGTCATTTCTCATTTCTTCGAATGTGAGCAACGAGTCCCGGAAACAAGTCGGACTCATTAACTTTGTAAAACTGCTGCGCAAGATAAAAACGGCCCTGGTAGTATATATGCCATGTTGAGTTTATTGTCTTCAAGCTCCCTGTATCGACAGCTAGACCAGTTCCCTCCTACTGGACTAGATATTTCCCTAGATAGCAGCTAAGAACCAAATCTCACAAGACAACCACTGGACTTTCCGCAGTGAGGGACGCCGAATGAGGGCAGTTCAGGCGTCCCAGGAGGCTGCTTGGATTGGTAGCCGAAAATCTGACTGTTTCTCAATCGAACTTAGATGTCAGCGGGCCGGTGTTTAGGCTCTACGTGCACTCTAATCATCAGTACATCTAGTTATACCAGATCAGGCACTACGCCGGACAATGTCGCTGAATAGAGTGACTTCCCTTGAATCGTGGGAATCCCACCCCTCTTCATTCCGCCAGCAGGAGAGGTTCGTCCTAGAGCATGCGGACGACCATGTCTCCCCTAAAGAAGGGGAGGGCTACGATTCAGTTATCGATTCGAGCACCCAGCTCACACCTGTAGTTTCCGGGCCGCAGCAAAATACAGTTATGCGAAAACTAAGTTTTAACCCAGCTGCTGGGCCATCATGGACACATGCGTGCATTGATGACGAAGATGATCAAGCGTGTCGGCGAAGCCAGCACTCGATATCTGATGAGGACAGTGCTTTGATTCCGAGCGATGACGGCTGGGAGCCGGACACTTTAGCTGCTTTTGAAGTGCCGAAGGGGAAACGCGTCGGTAAGTTATTTCCTTGCGGCTTTTATATTAGCATTTACTCCTTGAATGCTAGTGTCTCTATCACCCAAAAGACAGGCTAACAAGTGGATATAACCGATAGCCCAAGTATTTGTGGCTGTAGTGTATTGTGTTCTGTCAGCTGGTGTAATATTTGGGTATGCCGCTCTGAAGCCAATTCTCATGGAGGAGGGCGTATATAGAAATCGATGTACCGAAAAAGAGATTGAAAGAGGTGAACGACTCTGCTACAATCAAGATCTCAGGTTGGTCAATTCTCAGCTTCCTGAATTTCTAGCATAAAATACTGACTCCTTTGAGGTTAAATTTCATGTTTACTCTTGCGGCGGTTGCAACGAACATCTGTGCTCTTCCTGCGGGTAGTATCGTCGATATGTTTGGCCCACGTTTCAGCGGGAGTATTGGTAGCATCTTTATCGCATCTGGATCTCTTTGTCTTGCTCTAGCCTCTCTCCTGCCATTCGATACATATATTGCCGGATATTTTCTTCTGGCTATTGGCGGTCCATTCGTGTTCATATCCGCATTCCAGTTATCCAACACGTTCCCAGCACACTCCGGTCTTGTGTTAGCGACGCTCACGGGCGCCTTTGATTCATCAAGCGCCCTTTTCTTGGTTTTCCGTATTGTTCATGGAGGATTCTTCACACTGCGCAACCTTTTTCTTCTTTACCTTATTGTTCCTGGGTTTATCTTCATCTCTCAGATTCTACTTATGCCATCGACCTCTTACAAAACAGCCGGCGAGCTGGTACAGCAAGCCGAAGATCTTATGGCCGAAAGTTCAGAGGAGAACGTCCCTGTCACCCCAGAGCAGGAGCGACAGCTCGAAAGCCGCGTCACAGAGCGTAGAAATAAAATATCAAACATCCAAGACCTTCTAGGCGCCCACGAACAACCGAAAACTACCCCAACTCCTTCAGGTCCTCCACAAGCCCCATACCCACCACCCGACGCCCGCAAACCAGACAGTATCTGGGGCGTCCTACACACGGCCTCAGCCCTCCAGCAAATCCGCTCCCCTTACTTCATCCTCATGACCGTCTTCACCGTCCTCCAAATGCTGCGCGTAAACTACTTCATCGCCACCATACGCCTACAGTACGAATACCTCCTCTCCTCCCCTCAGCTCGCAAAACACATAAACGACCTCTTCGACATCTTCCTTCCAGCCGCGGGTATCGTCGCCATCCCATTCGTCGGCTTAATCCTCGATAGAACGAGTACCATCACAATCCTAGCCACGCTCGTCGGCTGCTCAACCCTCATCGGCATCCTAGGTTGTATCCCTCACAGCCTGTCCGCAGGGTACGCGAATATCGTTCTTTTCACTCTCTACAGACCCTTCTACTACGCCTCCGTATCCGACTTTGCGGCCAAGGTCTTTGGCTTCCAGACTTTTGCCAAGGTATACGGGCTCATGGTATGTGTTGCCGGGATGGGGAATTTTCTGCAGGTACCGCTGGATGTGTTGATGATGAAATTATTTCGGCGGAATCCGATTCCGGTAAATATTTTGCTGACGATTATGGTGTCTATGGCCGGGGCGTTGTTGGTTTTGGTTGTGGGATGGCCGGGGAGGGAGCGGACGGAGATTGTTGATGTTGTTGTTGTTGAGAATGGGGAGATAGGAGAGGGCTGTGGTGCTCACAGTATTAATGATAATGCTTTACGGAAGCATAGGTCAGGGAGAGAGATTCGGGACTATGCTTATTATCGTGACGGTGATGATGGTGAGTGGGGCGAGAGGAATCGACTGATTGTAAGTGATCATCAGGAGGGCGACAAGGGCTCTGCGCGTGCGTATGGGGCTATAAGGGATGAGTAATTCTATTTAATTCTGCATTTATCAAGGGCTTGAATGATCTGGAGTTTCTGGTCTTGTTTATTATGAGGAGAGGATATGCACCTCCCAGTGGCAGCTTGGAGATTTAGTTATGGTCATGTTGCTTCCTGTCCAATACCGCTAAACATATGTATACTATAAATAGAAGAATATTTAAATATGTGTACGTCTATATATGTAAGATGGTTGCTTGAAAATATATCAAGCCTGGCTACTCTTCACTGTTAAAGTGGAAATTTTAAATTCTTTTATTTATGTATATTTCTCTAGCTATTGCTAAAGGAAACGAAGATACCACAATTGAAATTGTAGCAGTCGTCAAGATATGTAGAGTTGTGAGTATCTCACAAAGCACGAGCATAGCCCGAGAAACGCGAGTAGTATATGTATGCATGCACTGAATGAATCGCTCAGCTCATAAAAGGGAATAAAACATTACCTACCGAAAAAACCCACCTAATCACTGACTCACTCACTTAAGAAGCCATCAACCAATTGGTCAATTAATCTCTAACAGGTGATACTTTCCCCCCTCCCCGCGCGGCCCCTCATAGTCGTCTAACGCCGTCTCTACCGCCTCCATGAACCCCAAAACCTTCTCCTCCTCCCATCTCCGCCCAACAATCTGCACCGCGGTAGGCAGCCCGTGCATCTTCTCCGAATCATAATGCTTCCACGCGCCCCGTGCAACCGCATTATCCGCCCCGGCCACCTTCAACACGCGCTTATACGCATTTCGCTTCTGGCTGGCAGTCTTCGTCGGCGACGGCTCGATGGCGTCCGCGATTGCATCCACGCGGCTTACGGGTAGCACGCCGCAGGAGTAATCAAGCAGGTTCCAGAGGAAGGTGTATCCACAGGAGGAGACGGCGTCTTTCATTGCACCGTGAGGTAGGGCGGGCGTCGCGTTGACGGGACACAGGATGAAGTCGTAGTTTTGCTCTGGCGAGCTCCACCAGTTGTGCCAGGTGGCGCGGAAGGCTTCGCGCTGGGCGACGAGTTTCCATTGCTCGGCGCTGGATTTGTGGCAGAAGTCCTTGATTAGGTAGGCCCAGGTGCTGTCGCGTTTGATGTAGCGGACGTAGAGGTAGTAGAGATAGCGGAGGGGGCGGGGTAGGTTGGCGTATTTGGATAGTTGGGCGGCGCCGGGGTCGGTAGATTCACCGGCTAGGAAGTGGGAGTTAAAGGTCACGCAGCCGTCGGAGTTTAGGAGGAGGGCAGCGAGGCGGAGGCCGATGAGCGGGTTGGCGGTTGGTGGTGGTGTGATGTTGATGAGGGTGTGGCCAGCAGCGGCGAGAGCTGAGGCCGCAGTGTCGATGGCGTGTGCGATGGCAGGTGTGGGTGGGACGACTCCTGTCTCCGTTGTTAATACTGCAATTCAAATAGGTTTGCTTGTAGTCTTCATTATTGGGACAATACCGTCAGACTTCATAACTCCAATTTTCAACTTCTTTGATCTCGCATCCTGCTCCATCTCGTCTCTCCACGAAATTGGATGGACAGAATGATCATATTTCCACGGCTGCATACCGATGATTGCACGGGTAAAATATGTCAAATCATTCAACGTTCGTGCCATTGGACTGAAGACACTTGGGACGCCTTCCTGTCCTGCCATGCTAGTGTTGATGCCAGCCTTTGGCCATCGGCCAGTGCTGCAGCGAAGGGAGTATATTCCACTCCATGCTGCAGGTACGCGGACAGATCCAGCAACGTCGGAACCAATGCCTACCCGTCCACCCAATGCGAGCAGCGCAGCTTCACCTCCAGTAGAGCCACCGGGGGAGTACTGAGGGACATGTGGGTTTAAACAAGGGCCCCATACGGGATTGTCAGATTCAAAGGACAATAACGTAACTGGCAAATTAGTTTTTGCATATGGAATTGCACCTAGAAAGAACGTTAGCTTGGAAAATCAATCTTATCAACACCTGTCTCTCTTTCATGCTGAGAAAGGGTGATGAGCACGACAGGTCAATAGCTTCATGGAAAGGGAGCTCTTGAGATAAAAAATAAAGGTAAAAATAAAAAATAAAAACAAAGGGTACAAGAACTATTACGTACCCGCATCCTTCAACAATCGTACAACCCCTCCATCCTCTTGATATGGCTTGTTCGCCAGCTTAGCATAGCCCAAGCTGATATCAAATCCTTTCACCTGCAACGAATCCTTCAATGAGACAGGAATACCGGCCAAGGGGCCCTTCGGGTTTATCTCCGATTTCGCCCATTCCTCAGCTTCTGGCAGCAGCAATTCCGTTATGCAGTTTGTCTTCTGCTGGGCCTTTACGGCGACTTTGCCGTAAGTTTGTAGAAGCTGGATGGGCGACACGAGACCTTTGTGCACATCTTGGACCAACTCCTCAATGGGCTTATCGATGACGGATTTGTCAAAGGCGGTGAATGCGGAGTGGTAGGAGGAGGGTAGACTGGCTATGCGCTGTGCGCGTTGCTGTCTTTTAAAGGTTCTAGTGGAATATGAAGAGGGCTTGCGGTTAGCTAGTAGCTTAAGCGGAGATGTGACTAATTGCATGCGTGCGGGGTAGCTAGTACCTAATCCGGCGCTGTTGGAAATATTCAAAGGGGGCCAACATGGCTGCTGTGTGCAAGGAGGTTATATACTATAAAACCGTACGAGGGGGAGGTCGGCTCGAAATTTATAGAGAGAAGTGGGGAAGTCGTAGGATAAACGGGTTCCTTCGGAGACGCAGGTCTATTTGTAGTCGGCGGCTATTTAGTTTAGGGCGGCTACCTCCGCACCGTGTCCCGTGATCGGCTAAGCTCCACCGCCGGTTGGACAGCATTGCCGAGAACGGCGGTTCCCCCGCATTTCGAACTACGCTAGCCACATAAGCAATCCCGTTTTTCTTTTCACCGACGATCTTGATATCCTACAACAGCCGGGCTATGGCCTTGCTCACCCACGGTGGTTACTCACCCACGGTGGTTAGATCAAGCTAGCATGTCCGGCCGCTATATTCGGGTGATGTTCATGTGATATCCAGTGACCTACTGGAATACCACCTGCACAACAGTCTGTGCAGGTGCAAGAGGTATGCACACTGTGAAATATTTTCAAATGATTGATGGAAATTTGTTCTGAACACAGGCAGAATAGTTAGAAAATGGAGGTTGTCATCACAGTGTTGATTGAACATTGTGTGGTTTTCTGCATCCATCCAAGATGTCTTATTCAGGATGGAGCAATCTCTTGATGCATTCAATGACATTTCCATTGATATTGATTGACAAATATGACAATGAGGAAAACATGAGAGCTGTTGTCAACAGCACTGAACAAAAATATAAATAGACACTTGCTGTCTATGACAGATGTGCCTTCTACAAAGTGACTTTATCCCTGTCTGCATTTTACTCACAGGGAGAATAGGTTCCGTGAGCAACATCCCTGGGCCACCTCACTGCCTTGACATACGCGGCTTCAAGGCCTTTCTGGAGTTCGTGACAAGGGGTATTAAAGGTCAAATATTCGATAAACCTATCCCCGATACAGTAGATGGCATGGTCTCCATATTTCTCGGCTTGCTCGAATACTTCCAAGGAATTATATTTCTCACCACTAACCAACTCACCACATTGGACCCCGCGATGCAGAGCTGGATCCACTTTGATCTCAAGTACACTGAATTGAGCAAGCAAGCTGTAACCAGAGTCTGGATGACATTCTTAAACTGGGCTGGTACTGAGATCTCAGATGAAGAGCTGGAGAAACTGCTGCAGAGGAGTTTCAATGGATGGCAGGTGAGGGATTGAGTCCCATTCTCTCTCAATTGGTATTACTAACCAAGCTAAAACCTAGATAAAAAACATTGTTGGAGTTGCGCGTGCGCTAGCCGGGAAAGGAGCAGTCACCTTTGACCACATCAAAGACACCCGTGCCTACCTTGAAGAATTTGATTGCAACTGCACTGGTCCAGGTGGAGCAGAAAACATGAACTCATATACATGAGCCCACACAGTCACCCAGTGGCATTCCAGGATGTATAGATGGGATGCATTTGTCCCCTAGGCCGGCAGGAGGCTTCCATGTTCGGGGATTTTTTCATCTAATATGGCATGATGAGCGTTGGCAAGAGATGAATTTGTTCTTTCTCATATTTCTCTCTCAGTAACCATATCTAATCGCGTTCTCCATCCAGTGCAAAGCTTGATTGTCATCCTTTTGCGCTTTCGTCATTGGACAGTTAAACAATCTATGAAAGTCACTTTTTTAAATCCCAATTCTAGCCGCACGTCAACGGAGGACATTTTGTGAATGTCACAAGAATTTTCCCTATTGTAGGTACCGTTTCTCTCTCTCCGAGCTGGCTCTATGCCCGGGCTGGCTAATACATAATCCTTGAGCCAGTCCCTATCTCATTAGCCAGCAAATCCTAGGCCTTGCGGTTGCTCCCACTTGTTTTAATAGGAGTAGTAGCGTAGACCAGAATCTGAAGGCATATAAGGCTTGTCTTCCTCCCACTTTGCTTCTATCACTCTATGTTCTCTTTCTCCTCATAAAGGTCGCCCCAGCTTTGTAATTTACCCGACGTCACACTTCCATCATGAGTAACCGGATAGCACGAACTCGTAAGATCAAGGAAACAGAGACTGGCTCAGTGGACAGTAGAGGTGGTAGTGGGACGATGGATACAGAAAAAATGATAGTATTGACCTGGGAAAACAAAATGGCTTCGAAGGTCCAGCACTCTGGAGATCAGCAGCAGGTAGACTCTACTAGCTCAACAAGACCCTTGCGACACAGCTTTGGGAATCGGCAGCTCATATCACGCTCTCGAAACTTGTACCGGATTTGGAGAAGCCATACACTGCATCAAATCCAAGTCGGATCAACCCTTTGACCATAATCCTCTCTTTGATTAAATATACCAGCATCTGTTCCCAGCGAGCTATCTTCGACGCAGATGCCATACATCATAACTAAATTCTACAGTTCCATTTTGAAGGTGCTGTTGCCTTCTTGCCAAATGATCTAGTTAAAGATTTGATATTATTAATCAATTTTTCTATCACATAGTTACTACGGGCAGCCTATAGTGATAAATGAGTCAAATGAATATTTTATGTTAGTGTCTATAGTGACAAATGTGTCAAATGGGTATTTTATACTAGTGTAATGATACTGATTGTATAGCAGCAATCAAGATCTTCCTCCTCATTGGATATCTATATACAGGGCGAGAGATCTGCGGGTCATAGATGTAGGAATTTACTAACTACATTAGGACTAGTGTAATTAGTGTGTGATTATAATTAGAAGTTAGTGATGAAGAAATATAACTAATTAAAGATTCATTATTTTGCAGAAAATATGTGAGAAAGAGAATAAAAAATGAATGAGAAAATAGAAATGACTCTTTTGACATTTTTATTTGGTTCTAATTCTCTTCTTTAAAGGCTGTAGAGATCTTAGAGGAGTATACGTACAATTTTGAGACCTGATGGATAACTTGATAAGTAATGGAGGTTCAGTCCCCATCTCCAAACCCCTGAATGGACAGAGTTTAGTGCAGCCAGTATGGAAGGTACCCTAGGGCGAAGATATAGAAAAAGAGCCTACCTGTAACTAGTACGATGCACACCAGGTAAGGCAAAGGAAAAAAGATACTGAACCGGCTTAATTGGTCCAGGTTGCAGTTCACATCATGGTCTGGATCCATATTCCATCGTAATTGAACAAATGGCCCTCACGGAGCTGTCTCGGACAAGCGATGCAGGGGATCGGAGAGGAGGGTAAGAGGAGGTAGAAAAAGAAGATAGCTGGATAATGAGCGACTTTAGAGTAGGGTGAGTTATTATTATCCGGTATGTTAGATAACTTGTAGTAGCTTTAAAAAGCGAGAAGATCGCCAGGGACTGGGTGATTGGAGTCAGTGAGACAAATGACCGGCTGGGCTTATACTGGCTGAAAGAGGTGTTCAACAAGGATACCCTACTGCGTACGAAGGGCAAATACCGACTTTTGATTCTTGATTGGCATAGAAGCCATTCCTCAGCTGAATTTGATCAATTCTGCTCTGAGAATAATATAATTGCTCTCTATATGCCGCCACATTCATCCCATCTTCTTCAGCCATTGGATGTTGGCTGCTTCTCCCCCCTGAAGACTGCGTACGGAAGGCAGGTGGAGAACCAGATGCAGCTTGGTATCAACCACATTGACAAGGAGTTTCTGGCCCTATACCCTGTAGCTCATATGCAAGCTCTGAATGAGAATAACATCAAGAGTGACTTTAGAGCTGCTGGATTGATTTCATATTATCCTGAATAGGTTCTCTTGCGGCTTAATACCACCATGCACACCTCTATCCCCCCTCCAGGGACCTCTCAGAGCTCCCAGGCCTCCTAGGTCACTGCCACACCATGTAATGTACACCAATTGGAGCAGCAGACTGAGAAGGTCAGAAAATATATCAAGCACTATATACAGAGCCCACCCAGTCCAACTGATCATGCTCTAACTCAGCTGGTCAAGAGCTGTCAAATGGCAATACATAGAATAGCTATTCTGGAGAATGAAAACAAGAAACTAAGGGTTGAAAATGCCAAACAAAAGAGAAAGTGAGAAAGAGGCTGTACATATGTAGCTCAAGAGGGTGCTATGAGGGTCGAAGAGGGCTTGAATCATGTATGAAGGTTGATGAACTGGATGAAGGTGCAACACCACGCTGTAACTTAGTGTGTGTAATACTATCGGACAAACTGCCCGTACATGCTCCCAGCATACAATAACTAGTTAACTAACTTAACTTAGTTAACATTAACTATCAAACTCTGATTATATAAACTCACTGAATGAACTGAATAAGATTGAATTTGATTTTCAGTCTCAGTTTCATTCTGATTTTTGAAGAATGATCATCTTTCACTGTTTATTCTTAGAAATTACTCTGCATTCTGTATACACTGGTTAGTTCCCCAGAGTTGGAACATTCTCCCAGACCAGTGTAGGAGTATCTACTTTAATAATATCTAAAACACTTTCTGTTCCTGAACCTTGCTATGAACTCTTCTCGGGGTTGCTGGGAGATAGCCCGCGCCTATTCTAAGAATGCCGGATTCGGCTGAAGGGACACTAGAATTCCCATTTTTTATATGCGCGGATTGAGGGAGATCTTTAGGATAAGTAGTCCCTTATCATGTCGAGGCACACGAGCCAAAATAATTAGGAGTTATTTTATCACCCAGCAGAATTCTAGAGATATCGCATGTATGATGTATGGTCTTCTCCATTCATCTCAATTTCAATTGGCTGGCTTCCTGGAAGAAATGCCTAGTCAACCAAGTCCAGTCCACCCCTATCTAGAAAACGGGAGAACCTGCTTCTCTACAAGAGAGCAGAATGGATTCATTTCAACAATGTCCCAGGAGGAAAACTAGAATAACCACAACATATCATGGTATTCTGACAAACTGCATCATAGTTGTGGTTTGCCTGTTATTCCCAACTCATAGATTATGTTAAAACCCACAAAAAGAGAAATCAAAGCAAACACAACACAAAATAGAAGAACTTCTGTGCTGTAGTGTGTCATTCACTTCTCTCAAACCACCTCATCACATAGCCTGTCATGAGACAACCCTGGCTTGTCTTTCATTGTGTCTAGACAGTGACAAGCCCAAGATCCTCATCAAAGGACATTTCCAATATGGATGACTCGATCCCCCTCCCTATCGGCTACGACACCGTCGTCGGGAAAATCACCTTGATAGCCGGGTACGAAAATCACAAGGCAATCTTCCCTCCCAAGGTGGAGGCCGTTCATATTCTTGGGAACGTGCGCGACTCAAACAAGGGCGCCCACACGCGCAATATAGGGCGCTCCTCCATGCTTGCCGGGATCCCCTACTACGTGTTTGGACAGGTAGCCAATGTCTCAAACGACGGGTATGCCTTTGGAACCGTCCCCAATGCAATAGCCAGAGCCGCGGAGCCGTTCACCGATCCCCTTCTCACCACGTACGTTTCCATCGAAGAGAACGGCTACATTCATCCGTTCCTCGGGCTGACCGAGAAGGAGGTGAAATTTGAGCAGGACACTGGTCTGAAAGTTATCATCTCAATCCAAGGAGGGATCTGTGAGGGGGAACTGGGCAGTGGCAAGGGATGTGTCTGGTATCAGAAATTGATTCGTGAGAAGAAGGACGGGGTCACTATTCGCAATTATTACCAGGGAACCGGGGTGGCACCGGTGAAGGTAGATGGTGTGACTGGGGAGCTGCTCAACAAGCGCGTCCTAGGCGAAGCTATCCTGTTTGAAAAACATGAGCCCGCCTTTGGTACATTCTGTTCTGTGATGCATAACCAGTGGTACTACCTGTGGGGCAGATACTGCGAGGACATCTATCTCGCCAGAGTTTCGCTGCTCCACCCCTTCGAAAGGGAATACTACCAGTTCTGGAATGGGTATTCATTCACAGGGGATATCAAGATGATAGCCCCTGTGCTGACAGGATATGCCCACGGGACGATCTACAAAACCCAGCTCTTTGGTCACAACTATCAGTGGGCCTTTATTGGCAGCACCGACTGGAACGATTCCGCTGTGATGATGGGCGCGGCAAGTGAGCCACAGGGACCCTTTGAAATCACTCAAATCGCCAGTGCAGAAAACTTGCTAGACACTGGAGCATTTTCTGATTGCGTCTACGCTCATCAATGGGCTTATAACGAGACCGTTGGCGAGGTTCTTGTGAGCTGGCGCGAAAAATGGCCTGGCGGAATCATCGGGGCAAAATTCCAATTGCAAATGCGTGAGTAGATACACCAGTACATAACTAGTGTTGGATAAATGACCAGAACAATACTAATTTTGAACCTATCAAAAGTCCATCAAGGAGCTTTCTGGAAGGACATCTCGCTCGATGATGTCCAAAGTAAGTCATCAGCCATATCCCTCTCAACCTTGAAGTATCAAGATCATTAACTAGGGCAATTTTGCTTTATAGCTTGCATTTCGACTCTTGCGAAAACCCGCAATGAGCTTGTGGATATTGCCAGTGCGCATGGCGTGTTTTGTAAGGGATAGCTTTTCATATGGCATAAAAACCACCCGACCCATTTCAAACCAAAAGCAAATGGATATCTGTCCAACAGAAAAATTCTAACAAACCAAAACCCACCCTCTAGATGAGCTAGACAGCAAGGGATTCGGCAAAGTCAACATCAGGTTGTTGGGTGGATCCGCCAAAGCCGTCGACGACGCCGCGCTCGAGATTTGCAAACAGGTCGAAACCTGGGCTCGACAAGCACTGGGTCTCGAGGAACGGGAGGCCAAAAAGACATTCAAGAATGCTTTTGGGCTCATGAAACGCAAAAACAAGGGAAATAATCAGAGCAAAGAGAATGAGGACACTTCTGCTTGAAGTTATTGACACACTCTGGGAAACAAGAGAGGCTCTGAGGTTTTTGCATGGAGGATTTTACGAAATTATGGCATTGTTCCTTTTTTCTTTCTTTCTGTTTTCTGTCTTCCCAATGATCGGACAAGTAACGTAATTCTTAACGAATGGAAAAGAGCAGGCAGGGTAGGCTGGGTTGTTTAACGGCGCAATGAACGAGCAGTGTTTCCTTTTCTTTTTAATGCACCTAATCTATATGTATTTGTTGAGCAAGAAACATCCACCAGGAAAGGGTTAGCCGCGCATTACTAATCAAGGTGGCAAGAGGGTCTACGATTTTGACCATCGCGGCAGAAGCTCCATAGTCAAGCAAGAAATAAACGTCTTTGCATTCTCGACAATTTGCTTGCGGTCGCCTACATTCGATCCCGTATATTCCTTCTTATAAATAAGTGAATATGGCGAACTATCTTGCTTCAATCTTTGGAACTGAGCAGGACAAGGTGAGTGACCTCCTTTATAAAACCCGGAACAACTGCTTCCATCACCATCAGAAGGACGGAGCTTTAGCCCAAAACAGGTACTGACATAGAAGCGGGAAAGGTCAACTGCTCTTTTTACTACAAAATCGGCGCGTGCCGTCATGGCGATCGATGTTCGCGAAAGCACGTAAAGCCTTCATACTCGCAGACGATCCTCCTACCAAACCTTTACCAAAACCCAGCATATGACACCAAGAACAAGATGAACCCGAGCCAGCTGCAAAACCACTTCGATGCCTTCTATGAGGATTTCTGGTGTGAAATGTGCAAATATGGTGAGCTGGAGGAGGTAGTCGTGTGCGATAATAATAATGACCGTAAGCTCTTTCTGCTCCCCCTTCCTCTCCTGCCTTCGTTCGATTCGAGCGAAGCTTTTATCATAGGTTGTGCTGACGCTTGCGAAAAAAAATAATCAGACCTAATCGGAAACGTATACGCGCGATTTAAATACGAAGACTCTGCACAGCAAGCCTGCGACGCGCTGAATTCTCGATGGTACGCTGCGCGACCGATATACTGCGAACTATCCCCCGTCACCGATTTCCGAGAAGCGTGCTGTCGTCTGAATAGTGGGGAAGGATGTGTGCGCGGGGGGTTCTGCAACTTCATACACCGGAAGGAACCGAGTCCTGAGCTGGAGAGGGAGCTTGAGCTGTCGACGAAGAAGTGGTTAAAGATGAGAGGGCGGGATGAACGCAGCGTCACTCGCAGTCCCAGCCCGGAACCAACTCGGAGGAGATATTGAAATACAGATATTGAAATACATTCTGTCTTCTTTTCTTTTTCCTTTCGAATCGGTAGGGGCCGAAATCGACGTTCTAGATTCGGACTTAAAGCGCATATGGTCCTCTCCGCGATTCGAAGCATTCTTTGACGTCCAAGAGAATATCGAAGGGTTTCCTATATCCAAAGTAAGGCGTTAGGGGTGGGGCACAATGTTTCGATGGCTTGTTTATGAAATCATCATTTGGTTTTGTTTTCAATGTTTACTCTATTTTTATTTAGTTATTTTCTTTCGCTGTATACTTCGTCCAATTTCCTCATTGATTTCTGTTATGATATCTGAAGAGAGAAATTTATTACTTTTTCTCTCCAAAAATGTACTTTTCGTAATTTTTGTGAAATAATCGCGGGTGGTCAAGCTGTGACGAGGTGTTATTATTGGATCCCCAAACAGATGATTGGGTGTTGATAATTCACGACGCCTCATTATGCTTCGGGCGATGATACGCTTAACAGCAACCCATGAAACCCATGAGATCATTTCCGCCATTGACCGGCATTTCCCCCTACCCTACCATTGCTTCGCCCTCTTCCATGTATCGTGCCCGCACAGGCACAAACCTCCAGCCCATGCAGTCTCGTGACCACACCGCTACTTCCCATGGCGAAGGGATCCATGGTGAAATACGGGAGCTAAACTTGGGCTGGCGTCCGCTAGAGCCAGGAGCTCGCTGGCAAGTTCAGCGAAGACTAATAATCCGCTGATTTCTGTGAGGTTTTCTTCTTCCTCGACGGATGAAACACGGGAGGGATATGTTGGAGATATTTGGCCATTGGTGACCTTCACATCTGACCCGGGTGCATGACGCTGCCAGGAAGTTACAAAGAAGCAGAAGAAGCGATACGCTCTTGGCATGTGGTGGTGTTTATTTACCCGTACGGAAGTTATACGACATTAAGGAGAATATTATATGACTTACTTCGGATTACTCCGTAGTCCGAAGGGTGTGGTTGGTTCCGTAGGCGGCATGCGGCAGGGCTAGGTATCGATGGTGTCTGTACTCCGTAAAATACACAGACTGACCGTGGCCGCCTGCAGTGCTGGTAATATATCTCCACGTTGCTCCAATCTATGCGTATGTCACTCCACGTCCGTGCCTCAGTTCAACGACAACGTCACTTCTGCGACCCTGGGATGGGAGGAAGGATAAAGATCCAACATTTTCCTCCCTTTTCCCAACATCATTCAGTCACGCCGTCGTTGCAGCATGACGGGATTATACTCCATTTTGCTGCCTTGGACTTCGCAATAATAACCATCTCACATGTCATACGGGCGCCAGTTAGCGCTCGACTCCACTCACCAACCAACCAACGAAGATATAGTTAAGCTTCAAACCGAGTGAGCGCTTATCTGCCTAAGTAATTCGGGTATAGCCGTGTTGGAGACCAATGGAATGGTTATATATATGAGCTTGCCTATTCTCGCTTTTGAAATAGTCAACCTCAGGGAAACCGCTTTGTCTTCAATATCGAAATGTCTTCCCCACACAATCCAGCGAGCAATTACTGGGGGTGTTTGATCCGGGCAGACAAGAGCGCCACTCCTCTGTTTGAGCAGCTCTGCCTGGGGATTGCGAAATTAATAGTAAGCCTTCTCCTTCCCGACAACTGCAAGTTGAACCACAGTATTAACTAAGGTCTTTGCGTCCACAGACAGAACTCCGACAGCCGAGTACGGAAGATCTTGCCCCGGAGAATCTGGCCGCATTTTACCGTTTGGTCGGGGGAAATTATGACAACATCTTCCTGCATACACCCCACGAGTCTCTATCATTCATATACCAGTCTTTAGGGTGCTTTCATACCCTCCAACCCACGCCAGATCCCTTCAAACCCCCGTCCATTCCAGCACTCCGCCCGCATGGCTTCGTCCGCTGGCAGACGATCCAGCTCCTTCTATGTCCACACGAGCATATGTTGTTCCTGCAAAGAGCAGTGAAGAAGTTTGACATTATCAACCCCTCGGGTGGATGCGTATTCCCGAAGGTTATTCCAAGGGATTCGTTCCCTTCCAAACCCGACCCGGAAATGGTGCAGTGGCACGAAACCGTCAGCCAGAAATTGGAAGACGAATATAATGCGGAAGAACAGAAGGCCTCGTCACGGTTTTCTGATCGTGATTCACAAGGCCATAAAGCGGGTCCCAAGTCTTTAGATGGATTCGCGCCAGACGAAACACCTGACTATTTCTCTCGCCGGGGAAGCACCAGCCAAAGACCATCCAATTACTCCAGACATACACCACCGTCGGAACCTAATCCCCCTTACAACGTGCGTGTTCATAAACGATCTGTGCCAGAATTCACCTCTCCGCTGTCCACGGAACCGGAACTAAGACACGATGACATCGATGAGCATTCGGCACCGATATATAGCCGCGTCAAACCTCGTAGCAGACCGGCTTCACGGCACAGACGGTCTCGCCGTGGTCGATCATTAACACCTCCCCCACGACACCGACAATTGCCATCTGAATCTTCGTCAGAGTCTGAGGACTCCGAGGAACATGTGCGTCAATCCAGATCACCAACCTCCCCCGAGGACGACGATAACGACGCGGACTATGATAGGCTGTTCGCGAGCCGCAATTCGCATGCCAGATGCCACTCACACGACGCCGCACATTCATCAAGGAAAAGATGGAGCCAATCCCCCACACGCCGCCACCTCCAACGAGAAGACGCCATCCCACCAGAAGCATTCCAGGCATACGATTACTACTCCCGCATCCCGAACAGCGCAGAATTCCGCCCGTACCCCGATGACCCCCGACGCATGAGTTCAGTCTCCCACTCCCCCCGAAGACTCAAACAACTCCAACCCCAACCACCAGCCGCTCCCCACCCCCCCGCGCTCCCGAGCGTGAAATTCCGCGAATACATCTTCGACGACGATGGCAGACACGCCAACTCCGCCCCACCCTCGCCCGTTAACCACCACCCTCACCATCATCACCAACCTCTCTACACCCGCACCGCCTCTTCACGAACACCCGCCACAGCACACAACTCATCCCTCGCATATCGCCAATACGTCCCCAGGATGGATACAGAACCGTCCCTCCCAACCCGCTCGCTCTCAGGCAGGCGAAAGGCAAGCGCAAGCGCCAGCGCCGGCAGCCGTAGTGGCAGCAGCTCGGAGCGAGCTCGTGCATTGTCCATTGGCGGGAAACCGCTGGCGCATCTGCGCATTGATCAAACCATGAAGCCCTTGACAAGGCGGTATTGATTGATCTGTTTTGGGACTTCAATTAACGGGGGATGGCTAAGAGGATGCGATGGGTTTTTTTTTTTTTTTTTTTGTCAGACGGGGGGGTGCAAATGGGGTCATAAAACGGAGGCGGGAGGGTTTGCATACTCAGCCTCACCAAAAAAAAAAAATATTTTCCTTTTTATGGATCTTGTCTTCCCTCATAACTCACCTATCATCTGTAAGGTTTTTTGGCCCTCCCTCGTTTCTGATTTTCACGCCGGCAGCAGTTTTATGAATCCTATTTCCGAAACAACAAATTTAGGTTTTTGTTCTTTCCCCCTCCCGCCTATTTGCAATTTTTATCTTGTTTATTTTTCGGTTTACTTGGTCTCTTTTTTTGGGGGGGGGGGGGGGGGTTTCCCTGGGGATTGTGTCTGTTTTCTCCCGCTTTTTCCCACTCAATCTCTATTTTTTTCTGTGGCTCCCCTTCTGGATAGGTCATATCCCTTGATGAATATATGATATAATTACGAATCGACGTAACTGAACTCTCTCGATAGATACAGACGCTTAGCTTAGCAATTTTACATTTTCCTATCTAGGTTTATGATGGGTCCTTTTATTGCCTTGTTATCTTTTATTTACTTGTTTCATGGGATAGTTATTTACATGCTTGATAAACTAATAGCTTCCATGAATAGAATAAAAACGAGCTCTTAGAAAAAGAACCTCTGCTGCGCTGCTTTTCACGTTCAATTATGCCGTTTCAGATAACTAAGTGGTAGGTTCAACATAGAAATAAATACAAATGTAGAATTATTTTAGAAGGGTTTTTCTCACTTTATCGTATTGTCCGTCTTCCAAGCCCAAGCCTGTGACAACAAGACTGATAGTGAGGTAAGTAGGTTAGATGAACAAGAAACAATGCTCATAAAATATATACCCAAGCCCATAACCCATGCATTTTTCAAACCTCTTCCCATCCCAAGCTCAATGATGATTTAAACAAGGAAAAAGACAAAAGTCGCTAAATAACAGCACCACGAAAAAAAAAAAGAAAAAGAAAAAGAAAAAGAAAGAAAACTAAAAAAAAAAAAAAAAAGAATTGAACACCCCCTTATTATATCACCCACCAAAAAAACAGCAACCCCCACAACAAAACCAAAACCCCCCCAAAATCCCCCCTCTCGTGGTTGCTACCCATCCTCATCCCCATCAACAACCCTTTCCTCCCCATCGCGCCCCCACTCGTCATCTCGGCCCCGCGACTCCCCTCCAAAACCTTCTGAACCCTGACACACGTCAACCGCGTCTCTGCCAGCTCCATCTTGAGAATCGCAGGGCCGGCGAGAATTTCAGGATCGGTAGAGTAGCCCAGTAGGAAGATGGGCTGTGTGCGGACGAGGGCGGCGTCGTAGGGGGAGTAGTCTGTGGCGGGGTGCGGGTTGGTTGTGGAGCGGTATTGGGCGGCGGTGGGGGTTTTGCGAGTTAAGAGAGTAGTGTTGGCGCGGTGGTAGGAAGTGATTATTTCTGTTGTTGTTACAAGAAGGTTTGGGAGTGGTTGTTAGGGAATGGTTCTCTTGTCGAGGGTGTGTGTGTGTGTGTGTGTTGTGTGTGTGCGTGTTGAAGGATAGATATGTATCACTTGATATCTGAAGCTTGGTAGGAAAAGGAAAACTCACCCTGCCACGACGTCCGCCCCCGCATCCCCGCACACGGCGAAGAATTCGCTTTATTCGGCGTCATCTCCCCAACCCTCCTCACAAGCTCCTCTCTCATCCGCTCAATCGTCACCCTGGGAAATATATGCTCACAGTCCCCCGGATCATTCTGATTAACCGTAACCATCTTTAGGAGCAACACGCATACATTCCGTCCATGTCTCGGGCTATAGATATCCACGTCCTCCGGTATATCCAGTGTGAAGATCTGATTTGTGGCGGATACGTTGCCCTCACCGTTGCCACTGCTACCCAGCGGCACTTCCATGACAGCCGTTGTCCATGTCCAGTTCTTGGGCGGTGGTGTTGATGGTGGGCGATCGTTGCTCAGAGTAGCGATGGCGCTATCATCTAGATGCAAGCCTACGAAGGGCAATGCGCCGGTGGCATTGGGGTGGGAGATTGCTTGTTGGAATTCAGGCTCCGATGGACAACAGCCTGTGTGTATGCCGTTGAAGGCATCGTTGCCGTTCTTCCTTGCGGTGGCATGCGTGATGAGGTATGATGTCGAGAGGAGAGGGAGGAGCACGGTTGGTGAGATTATTTTCATCCTTTTTGGGTTCTGGATATTGATATGTTTTATTTCGGAGCTAGTATTGGGGATAATAACTGCAAGCAATGTTATCAACTAACCGAACTGCTCAGAGTAAGGTATCAAAGCAAAACACCACACAGAGAGTAGTGTAGGTATATGGCTAAACTGCCAAATCAAGACGGGCAAACATCACGAAAACCTAAACAGTGAATTAGAATCACAATAATACGGAGTTCGCATGCAGAAAAAAAAAAAGAAGAAAAACCCCTACAAGACAATTTTTGTGGACTTTGCCTTGAGAAAGAGAGAAAAATAAAAAAAAAAAAAAAAAAAAAAAAACCCCGAAACGAAACAAAAACGGGCAAAGATAAACAACACCATCGGATAAGTAGCTTTTCTTTCACTCCAGACGGGCAGAAGAAGTGCATCACTCAACTCCCCAGCTCGATTAGCCGATCCTCCCAGCCATCGAGCAACAACCCAAGTATCCACGCATCGGACTCTGATGTGAGTCCCTTGGCGCCGTGTTCCCATAGTTAATAACCCCATAGACTATCATAGGGCACATAATGGAAAGAAATTATCCCTCAATTCTTACTGGTTGAAACCAAAAACATCGGCACGGGTTTTCTCGGCGTTGATACTGATATTGACAACGAACTTGATTGTCGGGACTTCGAGAAAGAGGGAGAAGAAGGAAGAGAAGAAAATGAATATGGGGCCCCGTCTGAGAATAATGGTAGCAAGGGTCGGTTCCGAAGCTTGTTGCGGGATTGTTCCTAACTTTGAGACATAGCGGTCTGGAACGTTGGTTCAACAAGACTGGCTAAATGGCTCTCTCAGAGGTTGTTGTTGTGTCTGAACGAACACCAGTATGTATGCATCCCTGTTAGCGACGCTGGTACGCGCTCTCCTCTGCCCTCGACTCCTCTCCACTTAACAATTCTTCTCTTGCCATGTTAGTTGGCATGTAAATATAAAATCACGGAAGAAACCTCCCCATGCTTGATGTTTTGGTTTTTCCCGATTATTGGCAACCGAGTTTCAAAACAAAAAAAAAAGGATACCCTGGAACAGGGACGAAGACAGTCCCGCTGGAACTGCCAGGAGGGGAAAAGTTGCTCTGTAAAGTTTAAAAAAAAAAGTCAGTCGTTCAGCAAAGGAGGGGAATAGATAGATAGGAAAAATAACATTGTAGCCGATTCCAATCAATGCCATTATTAAAGCAACTGGGCCATATGATTCAGTATCCCAGTAATGCAGCATGCAGCATGCAAGCCCCGATCAGATACGATACAGCTTCCGGCGAAAGCTCAGCTGGACAGCTGTCAAACGGATTGGTGACGTTGATTCGGTTTGTCGGCGTTGTTGGGTTATAAGTATCTACACACAATTATGGCTGGGGCCAAAAAACGGTAGAGAACCTTGGAAAGAAAGCAACGCAACACGTGATTGGCTGGGAAGGTGAGGTTAATTTTTAAGCCGCATCTTTAAGCCCGCCACCGCCCAATGATCACAACAAGATCTGAGTACAGAACGGAAGAAGAGGAGAAAAGGACAGACACATTCTCAAAATAAAAGCTTGCATGGAGAGCAGCTGCAATAATGAATTGGCGTTGCTCGTCTACTCCTCTTTCTCGTTATTTCACCCACACCAGACCTTGGAGATATAACTTCTGTGCCTCTCAATCTATAAACTAACTTACTCATTAAACCCCCGCTCCCCTGCCGAAAACCCAAAAGATAACTTACTTCCATTCGACCCTTTGCCAAACCGAGTCTTATCATAGGATACGTTTCAACATGATGGTTCGTTCCTCACCGACCTTTCTCATCAGGTAACTAGATCAATAGACGATCAACCGTCCTCACTACATCTCAAAACCTCAAAGCAAAGCCGGACTAACTTAGTTGAGAAAGATTCGTGGGAGATGGTCAATCAAATCAATCCCTTCTTCCATCCCATTGATCATTGATCGCTTAACTAGATGTGACTACTGTAACTACCGTACCTACTTACATGGATAACTCTGTACTCCAGTGGTTAAGGGTTGTTTGAGTAGATCAATCAATCAATCCATCAATCAATCAAATCACTAATTACTGATTAATACGCATTCTGATGGTCGCTCTCGACTTTTTTTGAATATACATATTTCTTCACTCACAGGTACACTCGCATATTAGTCGGTAGGTAGTCCCATGCACGTGTGTGCCAGGTCCCGTGGGCGGAGTAGATACCCGTGTTCAGATATATATGTTACATGCATCCCGCTCCCATGGAATGGACCTCAACAAGGCCCATGGAAAACAAAGCAGCGAACCAGCGAACCCCGTCGAATGTAATTTAACTCTGTTAACAAGAGAACAACATATTGTTTCTAGTTATCCATCCTGCCTATCAACTTGTCAATATAATATAAATACATACCTCTCTACCCTACCCTGACTAATGTAGATACACACTGTTATTGTCTCATGGATAACAATATAACAATTTAAAAAAGAGAGAGAGAAAAAAGAAAGAAAGAATATCAAAGTCAAAGGTAAACAGAGAGACTCAAGAAAAATGGTCTTTATTTATAAAATTAAGTTATGTATGTAGTAAAGGAAATAAAAAAAATCATTAGCGCCACAGCAGACAGTGAGGGGCGGGGGATTGAGAGAGAGAGCGAAAGAAAAGAATTAAATTGAACTGATAAGGTGTGATCTGCTTGCTTCTCTACACAGAACTTCGACATATAATAAGGGAAGGCTAAAGGGAAAAAAAAAGGGGGGGGGGATGAAAAGAGACTGAAAGGGACAAAAATTTAAACACCCCTTTATTCAACAAATCAACAAACATGCGAGAGATACACACACGCAAACACAAAGCAACACAGGGCTCTCGGTTTTTTAAACGCCAGTAAAAATTATGCCTAGCTCATATGAAAAAAAGGTCCTTCAGGGAAGAAAAATACAAGTAAAAAAGTTCAGAAAGAAAATGCAGGGTCAAGGAGAAAAAAAGAAAATACTGAATATTGGTTTTGAGGTTTGAGTTTTGCTGGAAGGAGAAGAAGGAGAGGGATGTTTTGGTATTAATTATTGTTCCCTAATGCTCCAAAATCCTCAAACTTCCCTGCACAACAACATTCTCGAGAATAGATCCGGGGGGGATATCAATCGTGCTCCCCTCCGTTGCCACAATGATCACAGTTCCCTTCATCGTCACACCGCGGCCCAGATTAACCGCGCCGCTAATGGTCAGGTGGTCGAGCTCCAAGATCCGCGGGATGCTGGGGATCCGCTTCTGGAAATCGGAGACTTTCTTGAAATCGGTTCCGAGCTTGATCAGCGGGGCGCCGCCGAATCGGTTCGGGTCCATGACCAACTGGCCGTGTTGGAGGGTGTACAGGTCGGACTTGACCAGCATGAGATCGGAGCAGGTTTTGACGGGCAGGAAGCGCCGGCGGGGCACGTTGACACCGTGGGCGTTCTTGAAGTGGCGGATGGCAGCGCCGACGGCGGTTTCGAGCTGGATGATGGAGATGTCGGCCTCGCCCTTGCGGTCTGCGGGGATGGACTTGTCGTTGGGGATGATTTCCATTTCGAGCTCGTTCTGCTCGACGACGCGCTTGATGGCGCGCAGGTTCATCCAGATGTTGTTGGTGTTGAAGTATTTGAATTTCTTGATGGATTTGAATTCATTCACATGCTCCTTGGGCACTTGGGCGATTTCGAGAAGGCGGGCCCGGCCCTCGTAGTCAATGATGGTACCACCCTTGACGTCGGCTTTGGTCTTGTCTGTTATTTCCATAATGTATTCTGCCTTGTTCTTTACCATGTGCTCCAGAATCCGCATGTCGACGACAGCACCCAGATTGTCAGCGTTGGAGAGGAAAACAATCTCAACGCCTCTGTCCAAGAGCTTGTCTAACGTTCCAGAGTTATAGAGGGACTCAAAAACGTCACCATGCCCGGGAGGATACCAGTCAGTGATGGGAGACTGATAGCTCTTGGCGGCGGGCAATAGAGAATCTTTGAGAATGCGAGGATATCGAGATTGGTTGAACGTCAAGATATCAATGTTATGTCCCTCGTACTTTTTGATAATCGACTGTGTATCCTCGTCGGTATTGAAGGAGTTCATGAGCACAAATGGCACGCTCACGTCGTAGGTTCGGTTCAGGTACTCGATCTGCCGGACAGACAAGTCCAGGAAGGACATGCCGTCTCTGACCTCGATGACGGATTTGGGCCCGACACAACCCATCGACGTTCCCAAGCCACCATTCAACTTGATCACGGCCAACTTCTTCAAAAAGTCTACTGAGGCAGAATTCCCCAAATCGCTGTACTCGACAACTTGGCTCGGCTGTGGGGGAGCGATGCGATCCCAAGACAGGATGTTGCCCTTGGCCTTGTCGTTTAGGTATCGTCTAAATAGCGAAAAGAAGTTGTCCATTTCTGCTTCGAAACGCTTCTTTTCTTTGGGGTCTGTAACGGTATCGGCAAGGGCATTGAGGGCGTTGCGCATCTGGGAGGCGGCGACGCTGGTAGAGGCATTCTCGAAAGCCTTTATCATCACAACAATATCGGTCAGCTGGGAATGTTCTTCAGAGAGGATGGAGGTCGCTATTATAAATAGATAATCAAGAAGAAAGCAAAAATTACAAATAGAATGTAGGAAGCAAGCACATGTTGTTGCTCGAGTGGAAGTCGAGATTCAATTAACACTTGAAATAGGAGGTTAAAGGAAAAGACTCAAGTGCTATCCAGAACCTTTCACATTCACTCTCAACAGCAACCACAACGGGGTAACAACAACCAAAGGAGACAAGAATCCACACAATCAGAGGCATCTTGTACGGCAGTAATAAAAGAGAAAGAGAGAGAAAGAGAGAGAGAGAGAGAGAGAAGGCTTTTTGCTCACCATGTGTGACTGTGACTTTCCATGACGTTTTCTCTCAAAGGGGCTCTCTGCGGTGTTCCCCGCCTCTTGCCCAGGGGCTCGAAGGTGAGAGGGAATTGCCCTGTTCGCATGTCGCAATGATTTGGGAATCAGAATAAATAAGAGAAAGTAGAAGGTAGTCGGAGGACCAAGTGAAATATAGGATCTAGAGGGATCAATGGGAGGCTTCAAACTGTCAGCGCCAGAGTAGTTGTATCAAGATAGATAGAAAAGAGAGTTGGCGAGTGTTGGCGTGTTGTTGGGCCAGAAACCGGCTTTTTGGGCGAGGCAACTGCAACCAGCGTTGGGCGATGATGCTTGCCCAGACCAAGCTTCCTTTTCAAACCTTGGAACCGCCCCTGGCATGGCATCGACGGTATTCATCGCTCTCATCGCTCTCATCGCTCTCGTGGCTTTCATGGCATTCAATGGCAGCCGTGTCACCTCATCCAACCCCCGTCTGCCGCAGATCTCAGACCCAGTATATGGACCAATAGAGCCCGTTCAGTCTCCAGAGATGCCCGCTTGGAGGGGCTGCTTGCGCAAGCAGATTGCTAGGATTGGAATATAAACTACCTACTTACTGGAGGGGAAATAGCTGATTCTATCTATCTATTCAACCACAAAGGATTCGAAGAGAAACCACCAGCTAGAGGAGAGAGGAGAGAGGTCGGGATAGAGCGACGAGTAAATCTAAAACAGAGAAGAGAAGAGAAGAAATAATATTTGAAGCAAAGGAAGAAACTGTCTATGAGACTGAAGGGAGGTGGGGAGGGGAGTGCTGAAGTAGTATTTCAATAGAATTAATTGCTCGAGGCCAAGGGGGTTGGAAAATATTATAATAGTTAAACCCAGCGGACAGGCCTCATCATTCTTGTAAATAACTACGCCACATTCCACCAGCTAGATAGGGGAAGGGGCTTTTGTCTTACCTTTTTTTTTTTTTTTTTTCGATTATGAACGTTATTATTGTAACAGGCAATAACGGGCCGGAAGAGAGTGAGTGAGTGGGGTGGTTTGAGGGATGCATCGTCAGCTCTGAGTCTGCGGGAACTGGTCTTCTTCAGTAGGTTACAAAGTACATATACCTTTAGAAGATAACTACTTGAAGTGTATTCTGAAAACGGAACCGTTCATCTATTATTTGATAGTAAAAGTTACATACATAACTCTGTCTCTTTCTGAAATGCCATCGCTGCTGCAGATCATACATGTTCGTTCCCAGGGGCTGTCACGCTGTGCTGTCCTCCCTACTAGTAACTATACACACAAGTATCAGGGCCGCATCACCCGAACCAAGGCCGAAGTCTCGCCCCCAATCGACCCTAACACCCGGCGCCGTTTCGGGTGCTCGATGGGGCCTCGTCGCCCAAGAAGCCCCGCCAGCACCGGCCCCTGAACTTTGAAGGCTCCAGTTTTCCCAAGGAGGATTTTATTGGCGCCGTAGCGTGCCACTGTGCCAGGCTGCCAGCCAACCAAAAAATTGAAACAGCAAACAAGCTCTGGACAAGTGTTTCTATTCGGGTTATAAATAGCAGGAGAGGAGAGGAAAAAATGAAATTGCCAGCATTGCATTGCACTGCATTGCTAGGCCTGGCCGTCGTTGGTTGACTACCAATCGTTAGCTAGTTGTTAACACACAAACTTCAATATTATTAATAATAAGGTGTGTTCAATGTTACAGTCAAACCAGGGCTAGGAACCATCTTTGCTTTGAAGCTTGTCGCTCCTGTTCCCATGTTACATCTGCAAAAGTAGTTACAGATGTACCCTATACTCCGTACAGTCACCAGCAACTACTCCGTACATGTACGCAGTACATACTGTTGGCCCTTACGGCCGTTGCGGTTAGCGATCCTACTAGATCACGTGACCCACCACTATATTATGTTCCTGTAGATAGATCTATCAATACAACCTTCAACTATTCTATAGGTTATAGCCTGAATGGCATGTTTTTCTTTTTAGAACATTGTACCAACATTTTTTGATGAGGAATAGTTCATCTTTTTTAAAAAGACTCTTACTCTTTATTAGAGATATTTCATTTTCTCTGAATCTGTCAGTCAGCAGATTTATATACTTTATATTTTTTTTTAAGAAAGTGTGTTCTTTATTGTGAAGAATATCACTTTTTTTTTACATATCTAGAAGAAGCAGAGTTATCTTGATATAAGTGATATATCTATTACTTCAGAGTTCAGCTCAAGACTCAGAATCACACACTTTACTAGATAACTCATTGATAGAATAATTACTTATTATGAGAAGACTTCTGACTTATAAGATGAGACTGAGATTAGTTTTTATCAGAGTATGAAATTTAATAATAAGATAATAGAGAAGCTTCAGAATAAAGAAAAGCAGAGTTAATATTTATCTACAGAATCTGTTCATTTCAACTTATTAAATTCTTTACTATTTCTTATCTCTGAAATGCTAACTTTTAATAATGATCTGAATTAATCTATCTATTATATCACAGACAATCTTATGAATCTTATACAGATAATACTATAAAATCAGATAACTGTAGCTGAAATTACTTAACATCTCATTATATCTGTCTCTGTATAAAGAGACACTATGAGAGATGAGTTACAGAAATATTAGAAGAAAGTCAAATATACACTAGATATTAAATCAGTGATTATATTTAATGACTCTAATTATAAAGTCTGATATATTAATATATTGACTGATACAGAAGTTATTGATAAAATCAATATTCTATTAAGAACTTAATAAGAATTCTCTTTTATATATTATATTAACTCTGAAAAGTGAAGAATTCATTCTAAGTCTCTATATAAATGTATACTATCAAGTCTTATTAAAAACATTTAAACTACTATTAAAATCTTGAAAGCTGATAATACTATGACTCTGTGAGACAAGATTAATATTGAATATATAATATCACTGACTGAAGAATGAGTTAATATCTTCAAGAAATTAATAAAATTATAAGTTAAGAAGAATGATTATCTTACTTTTCAGAGATATTTTTACTATCTTATTATCTGTTATAAGAAGCTCTGTCAGAGTACTGAGAATGTATATCATGATCTTTTTCTCAACAATCTACAAGATTATCAAAGACTGTTTATTAAGATATATTTAAATGAGTTTTTCTTCACTGATCAGAGACTCATTATCAATATTGATATTAATAATTTAATAAAGTAACTGATTAATTATATATTCAAGAAGATTATCACTGAGTAGAAAAAGCAGTCTTAGACTGATTCTGTAACTGTGAAAAAAAACAAGAATAAAGATAAGAATAAAGATGAGAATAAAAGCATATCTATATGAAAGTGCATTCACTGCAGAAGATATAAATATACTGTTGACAGATATTTCATCTTACATTCTGATAAAAAGAAAAAGAAGAATGATAAGAAGAAAGAGAAGAAGAATGACTTAATAAGTTCTCAATCAGCAGTAAATACAGTAATTACAAAGATTGAGTTTTATTTCTCTTTCACAGTCACTGAAAAATCATTCTCTAGATCTTAGTATTTGAATACATATATAAGTCTGAATATAATAGATAAGCTTCATTCTTTTTCAAACATTAAATCTTTTAATGATAACATCTCTGTCAATTCTGTGACTGAGAGAACTGAGTTTGTCAAGAAGATTGAGACTGTCATCTTGAAGATTAAGAGTAGTAATGTTAACTTACAGAATATTCACTATATTTCTAATATTACAGTTAATCTGCTCTCATTTACAAAGCTTGAAGATCAGAGATTCTAATTTATATTATCTTTCACTATTTTCTCATTTTTCATTTACAGAGCTCTGAATAATATTATTTTTCATACAGTTCAGACTGCTCAGAACAATATATATAAGATTGATAAATAAAAGTTCAATAAGAATCTCAATTATCTGAACAAGGCAGTCAAGTATATTATGATATCATATAAGTATGATTTTAACTGAAAAGTTAATCTTTCTGTGACTGCTACTACTACTGTTAATAACATTGATTCTACAGTTCTGAATACAGATTTCAAGAATACAAGAATATCAAAGACTCTTTTGAACTGATACTGTGATCTCAGTCACATTTATGCTGATGCTATAATTACTATGATCAAGAATTCTTATACTGAAGTTATAATTAAAGATTCTAAGACTAAGTTCTTTTGTAAGAAATGTGTCAAGACAGATATAATATGAGATTATTTAAAAATACTGATATCTAGATCTATTCAATTCATTGAGAAGATTCATATTGATCTTGTAGATAATGAATGTACATTGAAAGATCTCTCTGACTATCTCTTAGAGTTCTGTCAGAGAATTAAATACTGAATACTTATCATCTGTGATATAACTTGCTACTGTTGAATATATTTTTTGAAGTTCAAGAATGAGACTATTCAATACTTTAAGTTATGACTCAGATTTATGAGTAATCTTAGGTATACAGTTCCTGCTTTTCTATGAACTGATATTAATATGTTTTCTGATTCACATATATACACACAGTTATAAATTCATATAATATCAAATAAGAATCAACAGCACTACATTTGTTACATCAGAATAATGTTTTCAAATGTGAGATCTACACTATCATGAAATAAGTTAGAGCTGCTCTTTTGAAAGATAATCTTTCTAAGAAGTTCTGAGCAGATGTTCTAGAGATAGTAATTATAATAATTAATAATACTCTCATATCTACAGTTCTTTATAACTGAAAATTTGATCCTCTACTGTAGAGACTTCTGTGATTTCAAGTTCATATAAGATTTCTTAATATGCACTTATGAATATCTCACTGAATATGAGGCATTTTCACTGATTGAGTGCAGAGGTTTTTATTCACTTGTATGAATCTCAGAAGTCTGCAGATAAGCTTTCTTCATATACTGATTTCTATCATATTATTGA